TCAACGATACTTAATGAACTCGAGTGCATGGCGCATCCCTCAGAGATTGATCAACGACGAGAGCTCTACCCTTTTTAAGTGGTGATTCCCTTATAACTAATTGACGACCATTATTGGGTTTCTTGACATCTGCCGATTTCGGTACGGAAAATGGTAAATTTATGAAAGAGACTTCATCCTACCTCTCTAAAGTCCTGTGTAGAATCTACGTTCTCCGTCATGATCTAATAATGTAGTTTTCACTGTTGGCACAGATCTTCGGATTTTAGGGATTTTCTCAATTAGAAAAACTCACTATGAATTGAGAAATGGGAGACAACCATCCTCTATGTAATATGGCGGTGTTCCGCTAACATGATCCGACTCGATACGACAACGAACACATCACATCGAGAGTACTAAAGACTGTGGACCATGGGCTCTGATGAAGACAATGACGTCGAAAGGTTAACTAAATAAATTTCATTTTATCAACATTCTATTAGCTCACCAAAGAAGGCTACGTATTGAGAGACGCTTGTTCAACGAATTTAGAGTTCACCAAAGTGTCATCCGTACAACGTGATTCAATTGTTGACAGCGTTTGAGTGTAGGTACGCACTTTTGGAACCATACTATGCAAAGAATATTTTCCATAATTCTTTGTTTAAAGCACGACAGTGGTAATCAATAAGCACAGAATGCCAGTCCTGTTCTCAGTGAATGCATTGTGTCGTTCGGAAATTAATGCACGATTTGTAATTTCATTTATCCTGTTTATGTTTAAGCAAAATTTTTTTCTTAAACATTGAGCTTTCGCTTGAAACGAACGGTAGCTTGAAAAGAATTTTATTTAGGTTTGGAACCTGACTTCGGGGAATAACTCTACCTTTTATTCTCACCCAAGTGGCTTTCCCTTCGCAGCCATTGGAAACGACTAATTTTCGTGCCAACTTCAATAATTCCTTCCTTTCTTGTTCTCCTGTGCATATACTTTCAGCTGCTCGGTCCATGTTTTTGATGAAAGCCTTTTCATGTGCGACGGATGAGAGGAAAGGTAGTGTTCTAGCATATTTCTACTACTTGATTTTCGACCATGTAGTAAACACATTTTCGATATTTTTCCGAATTTTTATCACCTGGTTTTCGACTTCGATTCAGCATTGAACCCAGTTAGGCTAGGACCCGCACGGTGTGGAGGGGAATACGTTAACCCAAGGAAAGGGTAACGTCGTGCTCGATCCCCACTGCAGACAGCAGCGATCCGGAGTTTTCCAAGCACGTCAGCATCACGGTCGTTATATTTCACGTCAGACCCTGCCATGAAAAAAGAACAGGCAGCAAGTAAAAATTGACGACAGTGTGATTTACACCGCAGCTTCAGCTTAACTGCAGTTAACGCCTATTTGTTCTCCCCAGATCAATCCCGTTGACGGATGATTGCTCACTGCACCATGAGATCAATAACACGGGTGAGAGAAAGGGGAAAACCAAGGACTCGCATGGGGTGGTGGTGAACGAGTTAGCCCTCGGAAGCGGTAATAGCGGGTTCAGTCCCCACCGCAGATACCAGTGCTGCTCCAGAGCTTTGCAAATATCTCAGCACCATTATGGTTATATTTCACGTCATACCCTACCATGAAAAAAGAATAGGCAGTAGATAAAAAGTGACTAAACACAACACAGTTTTTCATAACAACATGGCATGATGTCGTCTGCTTCGAAAAGAAAACAAGAAGTGAAATAAATGGAGAAGACCATGTCAAATGTGAGACAGCAGGTTATAATTTAAAATGACAGCACAGATTTGAAGTGCTTTTTGCTAAGCAGTGTTGTAAGGTTTTCTAACAACTTACACTGCAATCGCTGTCTTCGCCTTCAAAACACCTACTAATCACGTTTGAGGATTTTAAATGTTAGTAACCGTCTAGAACGAATGTGACAACGAAAGGCATCGGACAGAGAACGATTATGAAATCAATGGAACATCACACTAAAACTACACTACATCTTCCTCAATGTGCGATCTTGATCAGTTAGATTATGACATGACCTGATTTTAGCTCCCATGTTGGGGATAGAGCTACGACTCGGCGCTATGATCTGGGATCATTTCGCATCCTTTCGAAACTGTTTTCACTGTGCCTTTTGCATAAAATTCAAAGCGATTCCAACAAGAACCAATGACAACGCGTCGAAGAGGAGAAGCAGCATTGCTCTAAGCAATATATAAAAGATGTTTTACGGCTGACTTAGTCTACCAAGCGACAGAGAAATCTACAAAGACACAACGACTTTTGGTGGTGAGCAGCGCACAAAGATAAAAGAATACCACATTATAAGTTACTGAGATATTTCCGCGGCCCACATAATAGCAGCTGAGATCAATTTGAATCTTTTGCACCGAAAGAGTGATCGAGCCACTGTTGTCAGTGAGAATATTATCTGTCAATCGTAGATGGCGACGAGGCAAACTGGACGGAGTGGACCGATTTCAATTCGCAGAGAGTGCAGCGAAGTAGTAAGAGTAGATTAAATGAACCAGTTACACGGAACTCGACGACCACTTACTCTAGACGTTGCGAAAAAAAGCATTCCACTGACTCACTGGTGTTTTTCGTATACTGAAGATCAGCTCGCCGATGTCCTACCGTTGATATGGGGCAAACCACGAACTCGATACGCGTCTCTGAAATCATGTAAGTGGAACGATCTCTTCACGACAACAGTTAGCCTTCAGCAGTTTAAAAGCTGTATTTGTTCGTATACAATGCTGAGATAATGTTATACCTTTTTATTTTCTGCCTACTATAATTTCGCGGCAGGGTAATAAGCGAAATACAACCACAACGCTGCTGAGATATTTGTAAAACTCTGGACCGCAGGTGTCTACGGTGAGGAACGAAAGCGCTATTGTCCTTTCCGGGGAGTAACGCGTTCACCACCACACCATGCGGGTCCTTTGTTTCGCCTGTCTTTCAGCTATTTCTATCGATCTTTGCCACAGCAATCACCCGTCAGCGGGATTAGCTGAGAGGTGAACGCGTTAGTTTTGCAAATAATGCTGAGATATTTGCAAAACACCCGACCGCAGGTGTATGCGGTGGGAACGAACGCGCCTTATTGTCCTTTCCGGGGAGTAGCGCACTTGACTACCACACCATCCGGGTCCTTCGTTTTGCTGTCTCTCAGCTAGTTCTATTGATCTTTTGCCAACAGCAATCACCCGTCAACGGAAAGGACAATAGCGCGCGTTCGTTCCCCACCGCATACACCTGCGGTCCGGTGTTTTGCAAATATCTCAGCATTATATGCGAGTTATATTTCGCAACATACCCTGTCATTAAAAAGAAAAAGGCAGTAAATAAAAAAGGCTAAGGCTGTATTTGCTTTCAAATTGCGCATTGATCTTGTGTATCACAGTTTTCCAAACCTAACGTATTGATGATTCTGAGATAGAACGGATGATTGCTGATGGCAGATAACGATAAATGTAGCTGAGAGAGACGAAACGAAGGACCCGCATCGTGTGGTGGTGAACGCGTTACTCCACGCAACGGACATTAGCGCGCTCGTTCCCCACCGAAGGCACCTGCGGTCAGGAGTTTAGCAAATATCTCAGAATCATAGAAGTTATATTTCGCAATACACCCTGCCGTTAAAAGGAGTAACCGGTAGATAATAAGTTGAAATTATGACCCTAACTCTTACTGAATTGGAGTCAACCACATGCAAAAATTATCCCCCTGGTTTCCAAAATGTGTCTTTGTCGCAACATTCTAACATACTGCAAAGGATATTTTTAACCAAAATCCCCATGGTAAAGTTGTGGGCGTATTTTATTGTAAATATTTAAGATTCATAAATTCAAAAGCTTACAAAGAAGATCTTTTTCACCAAGAAAACAGAACAAAATTGTTGCATTGAAACAAGAAACACTGTCACTAGACTGGTGATACCAATAATTTTGTTTGCAGAGCAATCACAAAACGCATGCTGTTTGCCTACTTACGTTTTTTCACAGTCAAGTGGTACGGCCACTCCTCTTCAGACCTTTGTAAAGGAGAGAATAGGGTGCGTGAGAACTGGTTCAGTTTGTGTAGATGAATTAGCCACGCGGCTCTTTTAGATACTGCATGATTCGACCAGTCTATAACTTGGGTAATAAAGCCATTCGTACACACAAATACAACATTAATAGCATAGTAATAACGATAGAAAACTAGTCGCATAAGAATCACGTAAGTTAAATTTATGAGGTGCAATGACTATTAGTGAAGTAAGGCTGATAACAAGCAATAGAATTGGAATATTACTGCGTCATTAATACAATAATAATAGCAATAACAAGAACATAAAAATAACGGCTAGTCATAGCCATGGGCGATGCCGCGCTCGCGCATCTGCGGCCGGTGCGGCGGATGGGGGAGATAGTATGCTAGGAGCGGAGTGATTCAGACGAGCTGTGTTTTCGGCTGAGCCAAGATTTCAACATTATAGTGGTGAGGTGCATTATAGTGGATCGATGAGAACAGTAAGTTACATGAGAAGTGATCGTGCCATGGAGCACAACTGATGGTCTCTCTGCGGAACACAGTCAGGCGGATGGTCTTGGATAACGCTACGTCTACAGCGTGAAGTGTGAGCATCGATGGGTGAAACCATTGCCTAAGAAATAACTTGGGCCATAAAATAGCGAATGAGACCTGATAAGCTGACTATAGCGGCATAACAGATACACAGCATAAGTTGGCCGGCCAGCGACCTTGTACGCATGGCGTACCTTGTGGGAGGAATGGTACATGACACTGAAGGAGTTGCAAACAGTACGTATTTTAAAACACCCGACGCTACTAAGGGAGCACCGAACACTAGCTAAGAAACGAAGTACATTGGTCTGGAATGACTGAGGATGACTGAGGATACTGAAGAGATAGTGTTAGTCAAAGAGGACAACTAGAGATGATGTTGCAAGAAGCGGATTACCCGTGCTATCCATCGGGAGCGAGGTGAGTGACGACATGTCTCTAGTGATGATAGCATGTGGCAGTATAGGACGCGGCGCACGTGCGCGTATGCAACTGCGGCTGATCTTGATCGTTGATCTTGGGCTGCAACAGACTGTACAACTACCTGAAACATCAAATGTTATTGGCTTCGTTGTTCACAAAGCAATAGTAAACTGTTCTGCTGCTACGCCTCCACCCTCGGATAAGTCATCTCTGTTGTGCCAACCATGTCAACTGCCTGAAACACTGACCGTAACTGGCCGGGTAGAACACGAAGATTTTATTACGGTATGCAGGATGCGGTCGCAAGACGGCCAAGGAATCGACATCATACATGGTCGTTAAGTTAGATGAAGAGCTCTTCACAAGGGAAGTTCTCTGGAACCTTACCTAAACTACACAGCAAACCCTGAAACTTACTGAGATGCAACAACCACCTGAAAACCAAGTTTTGCAGATTGTCCAACATTTACAGTGACTTATCCTAAGTGCATGGCGTTTCATAAAAACCATAGTAAAGAAAAGTGCGAAGAAATCCTATCGGCTGTATGGCCCCAGCTGAATATAAGCGCAATGAAGTCAAGCGGGATATTTCCAAAGCTAACTCTATTCACACCCACATCTGGAAAAACTTCTGATTCATCTGAAACATTTCTGCTATTCCTAGATGGAATTATATACCGCGAAGAGAATGGGAATGCATACTGAAGTTATTCTCCGTTGAACAGTTGTCTTATAAAGTTCTCGTGGTGGACGAGGCAAATGGAACTTTGTGTATTCTAAGGGTAACCGATGCCCATTTGTATTGGATCTGACTGCCACTAGCAGCAGATGGAAAATTAGTAATAAACAGCAATACTTACTTACTTGATACTTGAACGGCCCGTCATCACTAGTTGTGCGGGCCCCAGTATAATCACCATTTTTCGGAGATTTGCTGGCTAAGCCATAGTGGTTTCCTAGAATCCCGACGACAGCCTGGCCTAAGTCTGCCCCAGGTCGTTACCACGACAGGCAGACGCAGCTTTGTGAATCAGAGGGAGATTTACCACCATACGGCTATGATACCAAGATAGTGGTGGATCCTGGTATTGGCTTACTCTTAGCTAGGTTTCCTGATGGAAATACAGGGCTCCTCAGTTTGGGAGACCCTGCTGGAGGATGAATGCCTCCGCTGTAAACTGCAGCCTAACACCCAGAAACACCTCCCAGCTGCGATGAGGCGGTAAACCTTTGTGGGGGAATAAACAGCAATAACGCAAAAGAAAAGCTGCTTCCTAGAGTGCGTTTCTGTGGACAGCTTATTGCTTTTGCCGTTTGTTGTGAATCTATTCAGGCCGATCTTTGCCACCAAATAGCAGTAGAATTTTTCTCCTGGCTCGATATTCTGATCGTTATTTGCTGGTTATTACACCGCTTTCCGCAGTAAGTACGAGTCTACATGATAATTTCATTTAGAGATCGGAATACGGAACAGAATTGGAATGAGCCTGCCAACCAAGGATTTCTACGTGCGCTTTTGAAAAGACTTGGTTTACGAGAACAGACAATATGTATTCTTTCTTTGATAAGCTTACACGAGGTTGATAAACAGTTCTATTTGGCTAACGATTAGACTTCTTCGTTTTCATCAGAGCCGACGATCCGAGTCTATAGTTCACCGTTCTTCTTCGTCTCGATATGCCATCTTCGCCTTCGTACCGAACTGTGTCTTCTTCAGCGGATCATCTCTGGAATGAGACATACTCACTCGGTGATGCCCTTTTATGCAGGATGCTGATGGTTAATAGCTGTGATTGTTCGATGATAGTAACTTGTCTTTTCCAGGCAGTCAATCCTGTAGAAGTCGGTATCGTTATCAGTTAGCAGAGAGCAAGAACGGTATCTCAAAACCGACTGTCCTTTAACCTCGGTATTGCTAATCAACATGTATTCTTTCAACATGAACAGACAATGTTTCCATCGTAATTAGGAACTTTCAGCTCCGCTGCTTAACAAATCAGCAGTCCTAAGAATTTAAAAAAAGAACCGTAGAAAATGTTTGCTGGAACTTTACTAATTAAGAAAACATTTCAGATCCATGTTTAATCGTGTCGTTAAACGCATTCGCGCGGTTGTGTGATTGAACTAGAAATTACGTTTGCTGAGTACCACACGCAATTATGCGGACCTTAATTTTACATGTTGTAATCACTTTTAAGTTTCTAATTAAAAACAGTTTACCAGAGTAATGTAGAAGAGGTTGAAGTGAACAAAACCGCTTTCTCATGATGCTGTGCCAGCAGTGATAGGCAAGCCCCTCAAAGCCTTATTGCCCTCTATGGAAAAGGCAATAATGCTGAAAGGAAAATCTATTGATGGTTGGCCACTCCATGGAGAAGAATGTAAAAGCTATGAGTGTGAATATTGCCTCAGTAACCACAAGGATCGTAGCAGATAATGCAGACAGTCCCAGAACATCGGAGCAGTGGAAAAACTTCGAGTAAATCGATAGATTTTTCCAGCTGACTCGACATCACGCATGCCGAACTATGGACTTCGTTCAGTGTAACAGCTTCCTCGCATCGATCCTGCACAAATGTCTTCGATTTGCGTGCGGGTACAGCTGCTGCATGAGAATATTTGACCTTCCTCATGACAGAATACTTTGACAACCGGTGCTAAGAGTTTCGCATGTGTTTGTCACAGTCTCCAACCTTTCTGAATTGGAGGGAGGGCTTCCCACAAAAGCCTGCTATTATGTCCCCAATTTCAAAAGGTATAGAACTGTGGTTGGTCCAAAACGGTCTCAATATGCCGCCTTGTGCTCATTGAAAGACATCTCTACCATTACGCTGACCATACCACAACAAAAGCGACGTTCGGAATCTATCTTCTTGAACTTGTTTTCTTTTAATAAAACTCCAATCACTTCCTCAGCTTAATGTATTGGTTGATTTGACATTGATTCAAAGATTTGAGAATGATACCACAACGATCGATACAGACGAAATCTGCCTAGTCGAAGAGGACAGCGACCTACAGTTTCTGCTTAATATGCAAACGAATCTTCGTTTAAAACTCGATATCTATTGAAATGCAGATTACTACGATACAAACCGTAAGGAGATCTCTGTCCAATTCCTCATCGATACTACTCTTGACCTCCGAATGGTACTCCACACTTCCCAGCATTTTTAAAGGTTGTGTTTGAAATCGCCGAAAATCAGTTCACTATAAATGACTGCTAACCGATGATTCTAAGCGAAATGTTTATCGAATGATCAACAATTCAATTAGCTCCATGAATGTTGAATGACACGTGACGAGAAGGTTATGCGGTCTACTGAAAATTAACGATTGTTGCCAGGTAGACTGCTGAAGATTAACGAAGCTCGAAATATTACCACAACGTTGCTGAGGTATTTGCAAAACTCTGGACCGCAGGTGTCTATGGTGGGGAACGAACGCGCTATACAAAAGTTTCTGTATGTTCATTCAACTGTAAACGAGTACGGAGATGCTGCTAGAAATTCAACACTATTGTAAGTTTTCTAGATCAATAAAAGACTATGATAAATATCTTACTTGATACTTAATACTTGAACGGCCCGTTATTACTATTATTCCTTATTACTGTGCCGGGGCCAGCATAGTCACCACTTTTCGGAGATTTACTGGTTATGCTACTGTGATTCCCTGGAATCTCGAGGACAGCCTGGCCAAAGTCTATCCCTGGCAGCCACCACGACAGGCCGTCGCAGCCCTTGTGGATCAGAAGGAGATTTACCTCCATGCGACTTTAATACCAAGACGTTGGTCGATCCTGGTACTGGTTTACTCTTAACTTGGCTTCCTGATGGAAACGCCTGACCCCTTTTCAGCTTGGGAGACCCTGCCGGGGAACGATTCCCTCGCTGTACATCGTGGTCCGACGCCCAGGAACACCTCCCAGCCACGATGAGGCGGTAAACCGTTGGAAGGATGATAAATATCTGTAGTTACAAGTCACGAGCAACAATCTTCGGATCCTATCGAGCATCTGACAGTGCACGCGAAATAGATTAAATGCTACAGTGCACGAGAGAAGAAATAGTATTCAATTTTCGCCAACTACCCTAAAAATAGAACAAATTAGATGGATGTTTACGGAAGAAAAGACCTTGATTTGCGCATTGGGGATCGACATAACGAATTTGACCGGATCGCAGGGCACTAAAGGCCTAGTAATATTTTGACAGAAAGAAAAGCTGGTGAACGCATGACAATGAAAACTGTCACCAAAGATCAAATGTTCTCAAATTAGAAATTGCCTACATTATTAGCTAACTATGTGTAAGGTTCCCCAATCGATGGCAGCAATCGAATACATGGTTTGCTTAACGAACACCTCAATGGTGCTGAAAAGAAATACAGCTCGAAAGCCCCAAAGCGACGGTGCGGAAAATTCTGCCTTTGAGACATTAGGCGAAGTCGCAAGGCGACGGCGGAATTGTTTCTGAGCATGCCCTGAAGAGCATGTGTTCACTATTATTACAGGCCCCAACAAATTATCCATTTTTTTTTTCTGTGCAATCGTCGTTCAAAATGATGGCCTGCTTCGAACATGTCGAAGCACATTTCGAGATCATGAAATGGTTTCCAGCTGTGGATGTAGATAGCTGGAGTAGGACGTGAACAAGTCTGTCTATCTTCTGGATGAATGGAAATCCCTTAAAATCTATTTCCCTGTTTTTCGTTCTTCTATCACTAGTTCTTCTTATTACATGACAAGCCCACTTGTGTTTCACTATCGAGATGTATTCTCCTGGATGCCGAAGACGAGAAAAGTCTCGAAGATCTGCGATGTACATTTCGACTAGACGTTGTAAATGCCACAAATTCCAGAAGACATCGTTAAAGTGCTCGATGGGTGGTGTGCAAAGTTGTTAACGTGAATGAAGTACAAGACAACGTTCTGCTGCATAACAAGGCGCGGTGACCACTGTTGAATTTTAGTCCACTAGGCGGTCAGTGGCTCCTCTGAAAGCCCCAAATGCGAACCGTGCTGCCCTCGTTCTTCAGTTTAATTTCTCCTTCATTTGTTCTCCGTGTTTATTGAACGTCTAAGGTATACGGGCGAGGTGGTCTTTGAAATCAGATTTGATCTGTTCGTTTTTGTACAATACGGTTTTACGAACTGGATCATCTTCCGATCAATGCGCAGTCAAATCTTTCCTCGCTTCGCTAAATTCATTGAACATCGTCTCTCCTTCACTGGTACTTTTTAGCAGAGTAACGACTTCATCCACCAAACGAAGATTTCATAGAAATTTCCCATTTATGCGTGTGATTTCCTCGCCACAATCGATTGACCTCACTATCTA